TTATATACAATTTATCTTATAAAATAATTTTAATTATAGATAATATATGATATGCATAAAATTGGCTTTATTAAGTGCCCATTCAGTACATGATGATATGTCGCTGTATATCATTCCCACAAGAGCAGTGCTAGGGAAACTCGTCCACTAGCACTCACCCGCACACTCTCTCCCTTAAGGATAACACGTGGTAGTATAATTGTAATGCTGAATTGTTGACAGACTCCTTTAAGGCTGCTGTGAAATTTTTTTTTACTCACATTTTAATATTATTTTATTTTTATCAGGAGTTTCATAAAAAAAATAATGATTTTTAATTTATATTTTTAAAGTATAATAAATATATATTTTTATTATAAATTTATATTAAAAATTTAATGTTTAATTTAGTAATCATTTAATTAATTTATTCATTTAACACTAATATTAAAAGTTACAAAATTTTAAAAATAAATTATGTACAGTAGAATATTTTAAAGAATGGGCAATGTAATTTTCTTTTATTGTAATTTCTAAAAGGTTAAAACTTTATTTTGATTCTTGAACTATTGTACGAAACTCTGATTTGGTCTCTAAACTTAAAAAATCTTTGATTTGATCTATATTATTTATCATTTTGACCCCAATTTGGTCATTTCGTTAATTTTTTCATGTTAATTGATAGAAGAAACATTACATGGCAAAATTAAATGACATGGCAATTTCCAACTCATCCCACCCAAAAAATTCCCTTTTTTTAGCCTTTTTTTTGTTTCTCTCTTTCCTCTTCAACTTCTGCAAACCCTAACATCTCAACCAATTTATTCATCTGAACCCTTTCTCTTTCCTCTACCATTGCTGGGTTCGATCAAACCTAACAGATTTGTTGGTTATCGAACTTAGCAGATTCGCTAGGTTCCATACCCAGCTGATCTGTTGGGTTCAATTGAACCCAGTAGATTTGCTGGGTTGTTTCGAACCCAGTAGCTATTGGGTTTCGAACCCCAACAGCTCCACTAGGTTCTTTCGAACCAACAAGCCTCGGATGAGGCAATTTTGTTTGATGATGATAATGAATTAATTGATCTCATTGAATTGATTGTTTGATTTAAAATGAATGAAGAAGATTTGAGAGGGAGGATGCTGAGGAAGAAGATGATGGCAACATTGTAAATTTGATGGATTAAATAATTATATTTGTTTGATTAGGTGGCAAAGGTTTTTAGCCACGTCATTTATTTATCTTGTTGTCAATTTTATGTATTAAATATTTGGACATGTCATTTTTATTCCATCAATTAACAGGCCACCTCAGCAAAAATCTAATGGAATGACCAAATCGGAGCCAAAATGGTAAATAATAAGGACCAAATCAAAAAGTTTTTAAGTTTAGGAATCAAATTAGGGATCCATACAATAGTTTAGAGACCAAAATAGAGTTTTAACATTTTTTAAAATAGAATAATAGATATAGGTGTATTCCATTAACGCCTTATTAGAGTCATATTTTAAAAGAGAGTTGTCTTTTTATGTTTCTTTATAAAAAA